GCCAAAAGGATGGACCAGCACAGAAGATCAACATCATCAGGCCAGGACTCTGCGGTCTACACTCATCTCCAGGCCAGCGGTCACTCTTTCAGGGATGAAGATGTTCACATCCTGGATAGAGAGGAACAATGGTTTGAGAGAGGAGTAAAGGAGGCCATCTTTGTGAAAAGAAATCGTCCATCATTAAACAGGGGTGGAGGCCTCCGGGTTCAACTGTCCCCCTCTTACAATGCTGTGATTGCTAGTATCACTCAGCCCTCTGTGAATAGTAAAAAGCCATCAGTGTGCTAATGATCCATTGTTAGGCTGATGGTCCTTCTTGAGCATGTGATCAGCTGGTTTTGGTTGTCAGCAGCAAAACTGGTTGATCCACTCCGAGAAGGTGCTATTTAAGAGACTGAGCTGAATACAGCACCTCAGACTGAGGAAGTCTCTGGATGAGAGACAAAATGTTTCTTTTGCTTTGTTTTTTGTTTTTTTTGTTTTCGTGTTTTTTGAATGTCCAGAGGACCAGATTGAACTTTTTTTGGAGTAGATCCAGTGTGTTGGTATTTCTGGTGTGGCAGGTGACATTCTGGGTGAAGGTAGGGAGAGTGGAGGACAGGGAAACATGATTAAAGTCCCCAGAGATCAGAAAGAGGGCCTGTGGGTGCTGTGTTTGGAGTCTGCTGGTGGTGGTGTGAATGATGTCACAGGCTGCAGCAGCATCAGCATAGGGCAGGACATACACCGTTATCACAATAACGTGTGAAAACTCCCGAGGAAGATAGTGTGGTCTCATACCAACTGCTAGAAGTTCAATGTCCTTACTGCAGAGCGCCTGTTTGATGGTTAAATGTCCAGCGTCACACCATCTATCATTCACAAACACAGCCACACCCCCTCCTCTCTTCTTACCACTCTCTCTGGTTCTGTCCGCACAGAGTCAATGAAAGCCGTCCATGTTAATATTTGAGTCCAGGGTTAACTCAGTCAGCCAGGTCTCCGTCAGGCAGATGAGGCTGATCTCCCGGTAGCTCCTTTGATGTCGCATTAGAGCCGCCAGCTCGTCCACTTTGTTGTGAAGAGATCTCACATTTCCCATAATGATGGACGGGAGGACAGGTCTGTACCTTCTGCCCTGGCTGCGACGTTCTATGCCTGCGCGTCTCTTCCTTCTCAGCTCGCGGGGGACATCAGGTCGCTCTGCAGGAGGAAGCACAGCGGAGCTGCGGAGGGAAAGCAGCTGGTCCCGAGAGTAAACAATAGGAGCATGGTCGCTCACGCATTCTCCAAAAATAGAAACCATAAAAAAAGAAAATAAAAACAAAGTTTTCAAGAAAAAAATCAGTTCCATTGCTGCCAAGCTGCTGAGACGAGCTGCCTGCTTGCGCGGCGCCGGGGGGGG